ACAAAATGGCTGCACTGATCACACAAGGTTCGGTATTCAAACAATTTCAACTTCTTCCGCACAGTGGGCTTTTGCACTCTCCTTGCGGCGGCTTCTCGGCTGGGATATGATTGTGCCATTGTCTTTCAGTCTGTGCATGTGTTCATGACCATATCTGTCTTAGGTGCACCACACTCGCCCAGGAGGGTTTCTTATGGCAGCACCGCCATGTGGAACATGGGTTTGGATGAACCTTGCCAGTCATCTATAATTCCCGACTAGGAATGACTGTCCCCCTTAGCTTTAGAGCCCATGCCCTGCTGCCTTCAAGGAGTCGAGGAACCACGGGTCGATCGCTGGATGATCCTGCCGGGAAGCAGCACTTGAGATGTGTGTATATGGCCAATTTGATGGTTCAACGATTGTGCTATGTGTCACTCATCTGATGATGGAGAGATAGTCTCAGATCGTGCCTGTGTCAGCTTGTGCTGCTGTGCTTCGCAGCCCAGTCTCTACTACGCTTGGACCAGAGGGGTCTATTTCTGTGTGGAACAACCAACAAGTTCAGTGGGAGCCTTACCTAGTCTGTTCATGCCATGCGGGCCGAGCATAGCATATCCAAGTTTGCACCTACCCCCTGCTGCCCAACTGAGCTGATGTTCGACTTCAAGCCGATGAAGCGTCTTTTGAGGAGGACAGGGGCGAGGACTGTGGAGAGCTAGCCTGACATTGTATGTGTATTGTGTGATCGGTCTGTGTGTATATACACATGCACCCTCGAGGAAAGTATGTTTTCCAATGGCTGCATTCGGTTCGGACACACTTAAGATGACAGTGCTTCTGGGCTGATCTAGTTCAATCATATCCAAGTCAAAGCATGCAGAAGAGTGTCTACACGTGGGCACGAAGCCGGCTGCTCCCAACGAATGCATAATGGAAGCCCATGGTCCTGAATAGTACCATCACCAAACGAACACTTATCGTGGCGACGACTCTATCTGTACTTCCGAGTGCACAAAGTCGGTCTTAAGCGCAGATCATGTGCACTTGCAAACGTGACAGGTGTCCTCCAGACAAACACGACTGCCCAAAGCTTCACCTCGGCAGTGTCTAGCTGAGGCTTTGGTCGACCCTGCCAACGGTGGCCATCATCCGTCGGTCTATCAAATTTAAACTTGTTCGGCGCCTTCTGAAACCTACGTTGCCTGCCTGCATCAAGAGTATGATGTCGAGTGAGCTGGAAACCCTGATTGCGAAGACTGCTGTGTGGACCCGACCCTATGTAGTATAGAATATATAGAACCTTTCCTAGCTGTCCTAGATCCCACATAATGGATTACAACTTAAGAGGTTTGATAGATCGCCCACAGGTTATATACACTCGGCCAACCTAGGAAAAGCGACCTGGTAAAGCGCTTTATCGACAAGAAGGGCAAGGCACGTGTGCAAGGAGATATGAAGAAACTGAACCAGAGTGCGACCTACCCTGTGGGTTTCGGGTACGCTATGGCTCCGTGCCTTGTATGCACATACCATGTCAATTTCGGGTGTTTGTCGGCAATATGTACACATATTGCCTACCTAGGTTGGTTTCTGCTGCGTTGCTTGGGCCCGGGTATCGCGAGCGCTGTGCTTTTCCAGACGACAGCTGCAGTGAAGACGGCACGATCGACGATGTCGTTTTCAATCCAGCCAGATGTAGATGGCGACATATGTTTCAGAAGTAGCTGGCTTGTTCTAGAGCACGTGAACCTGGACAGCCCCGAAGCCAGAATCACAACGAAGCCAGGCCCGCAAGCCCTCACAAGCCAAAGTGCACTTATCTGACTCGAAATCATCTGAAAATGTTCTTTAGGACCCGGCACGGGATTTGGGCCCCGGATGTGCGTGTCACTGCGTGTCACTGCGTGTCACCCGGATCCCAGGTGTAGGTTATTAAGAGCCACATAGGCATAAGTGTGTGTTATTAGCAGCCACCTTGATATCATAGAGCGTGTCAGTGCGTGTCACTTCGTGTCACCTGGTGCCCAGAATCAGACATTCCTCCGCACGATCATCAAAAGAACGGTTCGTGCCACGTACGACAATTTTGCTCCTTGCGGTAGCTGCCTATGTAGAAGCAAGCGTTCGGTCTATGTGTTCAATATCCCAGTCATCGGCCTACAGTAAGCTAGGAAGCATTTTGTTTCTGGGCCGTGGAGACCATGGTCGAAGGAGGCGG